TATTTTAAAACTCTCCCATATTCTGACATAATTTTTGTAATATAATCTTCTGAAATCTCCCACTGAACGTTTAGAAGTTTAATCCATTTCGGAGGTTTTTTCGGTTCACTAAATTCTATTTCGTAACTTTGATTGTTTTCATCTTTGTACTTAATATTTGCTTCGTATTTATTTTTAATTTTACTTATGATTTCCGCATTATTAAATTTGACATTTAATATTTTACTTTCCATGGCGATTCCATGAATGCAACTTATGTCTTCGAATATACTTTCAAGGATTTTTCTTAACCACATATGTACTTTTAATGGAGCAATTGCTCCTTCTATTACTTTAAAATTAAAAAGGAGTGTATTAACTTGCTTAATACTCTCCATTTTGTATTATATATTGCACTTTAAACACAAAACACACGCACAGCCAGGCAGGCAAGCCTGGTATTTATTAAATGTTTTTATTATTGCTCTTATATAATCCGATGTGTTCACAACGAAGGTCTATTTTGAACTGCCTAGTAGCTATATTTCACTGTCAATAGTGTCAATTCAAAACTTCAATCATTGATAATTAATATTATTTTTTTCCTGAAAAAAATGGATATCTATAAACTTATGTAACTGTAACTGGCATGTATTCGCCAAGTTAAATGGCAAAGATCAATTTGTTAATTTTTATTGTTCAAGATTTTTCTACACTATTTTGTAATATATAATATACTGATAACTTTATAAAAATTGATTAAAATAATGATCTAAATAATTTTTATAGTTATACTTATAACTAGAATACAACTTTTTCCATGGATTTATAAATTAAATCTTTTGCAGATTTAAAATTATAAAATCCAGTGATGTAAAAGCAGCTACATTTCATTGTCAATTTAAAATTGTAATGATTGATAATTAAAAGTTATTATATATAAATAATAATCCATTATTTACTGATAACTTCTGTAAAAAAAAAATATAAAAATAACAAATTAAGAAGCAGAGATTAGTTAATGTTTTTATTTTTAAGACTTTTCGATACAAGTATATTATTATTATTATTATTAGTGAAACATGTATTGATACATTTGTGTATATTTATCAAAAATAATTATATAATTATTTTAATTATGACAATTATACTTATAACTAGAGTGCAACTCTTTTCCTCGCCACCCATGAGGTAAAGTTGCCAGGCGCGTTTTTTTTAATGTGGTGTCGCCACAGAAATAGATACTTCTATTCATATTTACGTTTCTAACATTTCAGATGAAATGGATATGGTGTAAATACTACTAAGTATCGATTTTTGCAGCCCTAATCCACCTAAACTAACTTATAAACTAATTATACCTAACTTGCATGCTAATTATACCTAACTGACACGAATGTAACGCTTAAAGAACTCCGCGATATGTCCTAATGTTAACCCAACAATTGCGATTTTTAAAAGCGAAAGAACCTCTCGTGAAGAAGAAAACATTATAATAACAATTATACTTTAACATTAAAATTGCAATCGTAAATTTACAAAAAAAAAAATGTATTTACATGATGTACCCCCCTCGATCCACCATGCAACTACTGAAAAAAAAACTTCATAGGTTCCCAGCCTATGAAGTTTATGGACAAATCATTTGGTGATTTGTAATTATTAGTTGAAGTTTTACAGAAAAGCGCGAAAAATAAAAGAAAGGTTCCTCCAGACGCCACCCCGTTTGAGCTCTAAACAAAGATACGCGAACAACCGTAAAAAAATGTACGACCGAACATAAAAAAATATGTAAAAAATTCCCACTAACTTAATCTTGATTGAGTACTAATATAATACAATAGTAATAATACAATATAAGTAAATATCTAATAATAATAATAATATTAATACAATATAACCAAAGTCTCATATTTCACTTAACTTCATTTTTTCACGTATTGTCCAATTCGGTAGATGTCTTCTGTTCGTATTATTTGGTCTTGAGCAGATTTTCCTTGGTAATCTTCTTGGAAAGTTGCCGACAACTCTGAAACAAAAAATGTTCGATTAATATATTTAATTAATTTAATAATTGCGTGCATAACTTTCAGTGGACTTGCGGTGGTCTTGAGTACGCAGTTTTCTAGGAATCTTTTAGAAAATAATTCTGAAACGAGATTAAAAAACACATATACCCCTAAAAATAGAATTAGCATACAAACGGGGCCCCGGTAATAATATTTAAAAATTATACACTTATAACTAACTTAAGTATAATTGTAACTAATACGAAAAAACCTCTACATAACCTCCGCCTGGTAGTGATTTAGCCCATTCTAGTGTCCTGGTATATAAAACAGGGGTGATGCACACATTCATCTATCGGTTGTAGTAGTAATTCTTGGTAATTATATTCCTGGTATAAATTGTGAAGACCCGTTTACGCTAAAATAAATATTTATTTCATTAATTATATACATAATTCTTAAAGGTTTTGTAAATCCATACCTTCATTTTTAACTTAAATACGGCACCTTTCATATTTCTCCTTCCAGGGAAACCTATTGTGCCACCATACAAATTTTATATACAATTGATCAAATCGCGTTCATTACATAACTATGCAAAAGCAAACAAATTTGTCAAAAATATGTGATTTAATGAACAAATCGAATTTCAAATTTTTAGATGAGTTGTTTGCATTCATGTATAGCGTAACATAACTAATGATAAAAAAAATTAAAAACAGATAATTGTACATTATATATATATATATATATATATATATATATATACAAATGGTACTAATTAAAAATTAATGTGTATGGCGTTGCGCCGCTCTGGGAAAACTTTGCAAGTAACCATACACCGGCAAGTAAGAAAAAAATTAATATATTAAATTAATTGAATATTAAATCGCAAACTACACGAACCTATCGTGGGGGGTAAGCGATAGGAACGTATTACAAACGCGCAAACCCGGCTTTAAAAATTAATTAATTATACGATAAAATTATTACGATAAACAATAACGATAAATATTTCGAATTAAAGTCCTCACATAAACAGAACAGAAAAATAAAAAGTTTGGACACAAACAACCCAGATGGATAAAAATAAGTGAATATAAAAAATATAAAATCAAATTATTAATTAAAAAATGATAGTATAATATCACAAAACTAATGCACAATAAGTTTCCGTAGTAGTCCGCCCCTGGAACAATCAAATCACAAACATACCACGTATTTTAAACCAAACATATAAAGTTGTTACATAATATAAATTACTCTTGAAACACCTACCTCCGCAACGTCGATAAGAGCTCCAAGTACACAATGGTATGACATTGTTTGTGAGGTCACTTATATATTGTGAAAAATGCCCCAAAATTTTGATTCGTTACCAGATGATAATAAAATTTACCTATTGTTATCTAATCAGAATAGTTTCGGGATCAAAACTGTTGACAGTGCAAATGCTTAGTCTCTGCATATAAAAGAATTGTTGTTGAATGTTGCTACAGTATTACTCACAATTGTTAATTATTGTGTAAATTATTGGTGTTTATAAATGATAGTTTTAATGCAATTTTAGGGTAATAACTTATATAATCTGGCAGGATTATATATATATATATATATATATATATATATATTATAATTTTAAATCATCATTTTAACAAATTTAGTCAATGCGCAAAATTGTTGTTTTATTTTAGGTAATCATACCTAATTAATATTTGAAAAATATTGAATTCATATAAAAAACAAGAGAAAACTTCAATTCATTCATAATAAACAGCAAATTTATCTGTATATTTAAGGCGTAACAACATATACTTTTCCTTTATTTATGATTTGTTACATTAATTTATTATTAAACTAATAAAACATTTAAAATGAGCGCTTTAAAACTTTGCAGTTGAACATCTTTATATAAATCTATGGGCGATCTGACCATTGGCCAAAATCTGGCCAATATCAATGCTTTTACTTTTGGACTTGATCATGACAACATGGCATAATAGGAGGACCCTCATGAAGTGGGTACTTTAGAAATAATATTGTTAATTACCTTTAGTTGTCAGTTTTCTTCAGTCGGGCAAAAATCGTTCAAGTTACCATGGCATCGAGTATAAAATATTTTTATTTTATTGTGATTCCTAAAGTTTTCATTTACAGTAACTCCAGAAATCGGGTTTTAATTAATTTTTTCACATCGTATTCATATCACAAAATATTCATGACTTTCGTTTAATTTTTTCTTAATGTTTACCTGCAATCAGAACTTAACTAGATGATTGTGTGATGATTGTTCAATATGAATTTGAGAGAGCGAACTTATCCGAAAATAAAAAAACTAAAAGATTTTTTATGGTAAGAAATAGGCAATTAAGAAAGCAATATTTCATTTTATCAATATTTTCTATGAAGTAAAGAGTTTGTTAGTAAATGGAATAAGTAAATGCTACTAATAATGCATAAATAAATCAGTACTTACTTCAATATTTAATTTTCAATTTTTATTTTAAATTCTCTTAAAAGCATAGTTAAATCAACATAATGCAACAAACTTTAACAAAACCTGTTTTTTTTTAATAATTTAAATTCACAACAATTAAAAACTTGCAGTGTAAATTAATAGAGTACTTACTTAAAAAAATCGAGTATCAATATAGATATGAAGAGATGTTATTTTATTTAAATTATTGGTTTTACTGTTGTTAAAATAAAGATTCCAACCATATACTCTTCTTTTCTATATATTATTATTATTTTATATATCATTATTTTATATATTATTATTTCTATATAATATTATATATTCTATTATATTATTATTTCTATATATTTTACTTCTTCTTTTATCTATGATTCCAACCAATCTTGGTTGGATTTCCGAACAAAGAGGCGCTCGAGTACATGCAGCGCCATCTTCGACCAAACGAACTCGCACGCACTGTAGTCGCACATCTACAAGTTCTTTTTGCACATCTAAGGTTTATGCCAGTCTTTGGGATGTCATGGCATAATTCCATTCCCTCATCGGAATTGGTTGAAGAAACATCGAGGAATACAGACGTCCCCTTATTGCCTATTATTGCTGTCTGGAAGATATTTTGGTATGTTGTACTTGTGCTAAATACATTTTGCTTTACGGATTCAATCGGATTTCATTTCGTTTTCGACAGTGTTGAGTCGTACGTCTAACATGTGCTACAATTTATTTAGTTTGCTCAAGTCGTATTAGAGCCATAGACGCACACGGGATATATTCCATTTTATAATGTCTACTGTTAAATAAAACTATTTTGTTGACTAACCAAGATCTTACAATCGCAAAACTATCGGACCTTGTGCAATATATTCGAAAAGTGATTGTGATTTGCGAATATTTTGGATTCGGTTATAAGACTTCCGGGAATAATATTTTTTTTTATTCACTATTCTTTATACAAATATAAAATAGTATTTTTCAAAGTTTTTGCTTCAATAGAAAGATACGAAGTGAAAGTAAATCTGAACTGCTACTTTATGAACATTTTTATTATCGAGACTTGATCAGTTTGTGAGTTGTGTATTAAGTTAAATATTAAGTGTTATTTAAATTATTAATATGTGCTAACTCACTTCAATTTATAGATCAGAAGAATTGTGTATGTTGGACCATAATCATTGTTATCAAGAATTTTAAAAAGCAGCTTTGTGATCATGCACTATTTTATTCATTTACTAGAAGGAAATGACACAGAATAGTTCTAACAATTTGATTAAAAATGAAGATGCAGATAAAGACTATTCTGTGCTTCTCTGGAGCAACTGCTTTGTTCATGAAGACAGATTTGGTGACGTATCAACATCATTTAATAATATATCTGAGATGTTCATCACATTTAATACTAACTTCTGTATTTTACAGGTGCAGGTACGTTTGAATTTGTGGCATTTTTTGCAGAGTCTTTCAGTTTACATGTCACTGTAATGCACTAACTGTGTTTTTATTGCAATTGTATTTGGTCATACCAAATGCATTTATTGAACAGTGAATTTACCCAAGATATTAATTGGTTTATACTTTTAGTTTTTGCTTTATCTTATACAAATTTGCATTAGCTTTCATGATTCAAATAGCCACTTGCATGATTTGCATTCATCTAATATAGTACTAACAAATACTAACAAACACTAATCTATTCAACTACTAAAAAATAATGTGGTTGTTTGAATCTTAAGTTTATGCAATGTGGATTTGAAATATTACATTACATTTTAATTTTCACTGTTTTGAACATGTTAATGCATTTCATATAAGAGCAAGTGCAATTATCAAACCACTAGTAAATTTCTACATTATATTTCTGGGCATCAAGATGAAATCATATGAAAACCACAACATATCATATCAAGCAGATTGAGTATCGACTGAAAATTCAGTTTACATTTATTTTATTTTATTGATCAATGATACTTTATTATAATATTTTCTAGATCTACCTATTCGTAACCTTATAATTTGTTTTTAGGCAAATTTAATCGGCAATCATGATTATTACACCAAGGAAAATATTTGAAAAATATTATTTGGAAAATTTTTGGAAAATATTTGGAAAGCATTCAAAGTATGCATAACTTAGATTTAGCAAACATTGACATTTTTATGACCACAGATTCTTTTTAAAGACTTATGAATAAATGCGAGGAATAAGAAGTAAGTTCAAGTGTCTAATAATCAATATTTAGCTTATCATTATTTTTATATAGTGTTAATTTTTTAATTTAATTTTATTTTTTTTATAAAATCTTTTTCATTGAAGATTGAAAATTCAAACTCCGCACAGAGTCCATCAGGAGGGATTGTTTGGTAACGCATAAACACTTTTATTAAATTAAGAAACATTGCTAAAATATTCCTTTTTTTACAGGTCCTTTCAACTACTGCTGCTCTGCACACACTGACTTTCATCAGGAACATTTAATCAGGTATGTGTTTATCCATAACCAGTATAAATGCAAACATTGCTAAAATTTGTTTTCACAGGTCCTTTTAACTACCACTGCTCTGCACACTGACTCACTTCACCAGGAATCGCTCTGAAAATATTTTATGAAGTACGTTTTATCCATAATCAGTATAAATGTGAACATTAATATCATGTTTATTTTTTTTCCAGGTCCTTTCAACTACCACTGCTCTGCACACTGACTCACTTCACCAGGAATCGCTCTGGAAATATTTTATGAAGTACGTTTCATCCATAATCAGTATAAATGTAAACAATAAATATGTTAATATTTTTCAGGTCCTTACAACTACTGCTGCTCTGCAATCACACTACTTCACCAGGAATCTTTCCAGAAACATTTTTACCAGGTATGTGTTTATCCATACCAGCATAAATGCAAACATTCCTAAAATGATTCTTTTTTTTTTCAGGTTCATTCAACTACTGCTGCTCTGCACACTGACTCCTTCAACAGGAATCTTTCCAGAAACATTTCACCAGGTATGTGTTTATCCATACCAGTCTGAATGCAAACATTCCTAAATGATTTTTTTTCAGGTCGTTTCAACTACTGCTGCTCTGCACACTGACTCCTTCACCAGGGATCGCTCTGAAAATATTTTATGAAGTATGTTTTTATCCATAATCAGTATAAATGTGAACATTAATATCATGTTTATTTTTTTTCCAGGTCCTTTCAACTACCACTGTTCTGCACACTGACTCCTTCACCAGGAATTTTTCCAGAAATATTTTACCAGGTATGTGTTTATCCATACCAGTATAAATGCAAACATTTTAGAAATGTTTCTTTTTTTTTTGCAGATCTTCTCAATCCAACTATTACTGCCCTGAAGCTCTAACATCAATGAGTTTAAAATACTCATTCAAATGAATGACTCGCAAGTGTTTTTTTTTAATAACTTCCTATAATTATGCATGATTAACTTAACTCTTATTAACTCAATAACATGACTAACCTCACTAACTTAATCAGTTATTATAAATACCACTTGTTGAGTTTTACTATGAAGGTTTTACTGAGTTTGCTTGGAAGACGGGCTGAACGATTAATCATGTAATTTATTATTATAGTATATTTTATTAGGCTTGTTACTAATTCATTGTTTTTGTTTATAGGGCAAACGACAACTTGAAGCCAAGTGGTCTTCAACTCTCAAATTTCTCATTAGTGAGAACAATCATTTGATCTACTAATTATGCTGTCCGTCCGTCCGTCTTTGCACCAAAGAAGATGCCTACTGTGATATATTGAGTAGTTAAGTGCATAAATGTTAATGAAATAATGAATAAATTTATTGTATTTAATTTAATTTGTTGTTTTAATTTAATTATGAGCCATTTTATGGCCAAATTACATTATGCTGTAACGTAAATTACACAGATATTTAAACATATCCGAATTTTAAAAATTTGTGTTATTAATTATACTTATTGAGTGTACTTGTACGTGAAGAAAATTGTGTAAAACAGTTTGTTTACTGCTTGGGTGTGTTGAAATCTTGGTCAACTTCCTTATACCTTTGCTTTGTCTCGGCCAAAGTCTGCATCATTGCTTTGATTTGTAGTACTATTATACACTTGGCTCTCTTGATAATATTGAGAGAATATGCCTACTGTGATCTATTGAATAGTTAGTGCTTAGATGTTAATTAAATAATGAATAAATATATTATATTTAATTCAATGTATTGTTTTAATTTTATGCTGTAACGTAAATTACAAAGATATTTAAACATATCTGAATTTTAAAAAAATCTTGTGTTATTAATGATACTTATTGGGTGTACTTTTTAATGTAGACAATTGTGTAAAACAGTTTGTTTACTGCTTGGGTGTCTTGAAATCTTAGGCAATTTTCATATACCTTTGCTTTGTATCGGTCGAAGTCTGCGTCATTGCTTTGACTTGTAGAACTATACACTTGGCTCTCTTAATAACATTGAATTGACTGAAAAATGTAGTTTTTTTTTTGACATGTTTAAATTGACTGTAAAGCGTAAACTATTCACTTAGCATTTTTGCAATCCCTTGTGTTGGAGTGCCTTAAACATTTAATGTTTATATATAATATTCGTTATATGTTTTCTATTACCCCTTCAAATGATGTACTTTTCTTAACTGTAAATATAACTTAATTTTATATCATACTGTGTTAATACTATTATATATACTAAAATATATAATTATACTATTACATAAATGATAATGTGATTGATTCATTTTCATTCTTGTAATTGTAATAATAAATAAATATAATTGTATTATTAAATACTGTGATATATTGATTGGAAGTTTTGAATAAAACTAACTAAACTTTACTTGGAGTGTTTCATTTCACACCATTTTCAGTGATATGTATATATATTAGAAACACACCGTACGGGTACAGGTATTATAAACATAAGCATATTTGCTTATGTTTATATAAACTTTAATATACTCATTAATTCATTCTTCGACGAGGATGATCAATAAAGTTAATGTAGTTATAACTTTGGCCTACTGTTATTCATAAAATACTACTATAATCTATACTTTAATTATATTTTAAATCTATATTTTAATTAATATACTTCAAATATTGGTCAGTTTTACTTAACTTTGGACTTGTACAATAAAAATTAAGTTTTCAACTATGTTCTTTTTCTTAACTTTGGACTTGTACAATGAAAATAGAAGTTTTCAACTATGTTCCTTTTGCACAATGACATCCTCATTACTATTGAATATATTTTTACGTTTAATTAACGTAATTTTTACATCAATTACATTAATATTCCCACCATCTTACTATAGCTATTATCTCTTTCCTTACTTTATACTACCTTACCTAATGCTTATCTACGTTGAGAACTGATACTTTTACTTTGCTTACCTTACCATGTCTCGAACCTGCTACCCCGACCTTTCCAGTGACTCCCACCTCCTAAAGCGCGACGCCACGACGATCACATTATTAAACCGTTACAAATTAGGTGATATTGTATATTTTAAACGAAAAAAAACTAACAGGTCATATGTCCAGAAAAAGTTGGGTTGGTATGACCTGTGTTGGCGTAATTGGTAGAGTGATGGCTTTGTACCAAAAAGGTACCGAGTTCGAATCATACTTTAGGACAAAAAAAAGACTGTTGTTCACGTCGTGGTATTCATTTATTGTTGTATAACACAAAGTTAATATTTAGATATAACAAACTAACAAGTCATGAGGCCGAAAAAAAGCGGTATCGACATGGCCTGTGCTGGCGTAATTGGTAGAGTGATGGCTTCGTACCGAAAGAGTGCTGAGTTCGAATCATACCTCGGGACAAAAAATGGAAAGCGCGGTATTTATTTATTGTAACATAGCACAAAGATAAAATTTAGATTTAATAAACTAAGAGGTTATGAGGCCGAAAAAAAGCAGAATCGATGTGACCTGCGTTGGCGTATTGCTAGCGTGCTAGCTTCATGTCAACAGGGTACCGAGTTCGATTCATACCTCCGGACACAAAACGCAAAATAGCGTGGCTGTTGACGCTGTGGAACGAGGTATGCACGGAATCACATCCGTTCGAATTTGAGACCCCAGGCATGCTCCCCTCGATCTCGATTGAGAGGAGAGATACGCGCGAGAATCCCGCAACATCCCCTAATAAGCCCCGCAGCATCCCCGAAAAGGGGAGAGGGGGGACTATAGGGGGGTGTGGGGTTCGCGAACCCGCGACCCTGTGGTCCCGCCTTCGAAAAAGGGAGAGGGGGGACTATAGGGGGGTGAGGGTTCCGCGCGACGACCACCACTGGGTCGCGCCGGTTGAAAAGCTGGGTGCGCCACAGGTTGGGTCGGTGTGCGAGTCCCCGGAGCACCCTCGAGTGCGATGATGGGGATGTGGGGTGAGGGAAATGCAGTGACGAAGGGATAAAGGGGTGAAAAGATATGAGGAGAGAGAGATAGGGATGGCAGGAGAGAGATAGGGGGAGAGATAGGGGTGGTAGGAGAGACAGGGGGAGAGATGAGAGGGGAGAGAGATAGGGGGAGGGAGAGAGATAAAGGAGGGGAGAGATAGTGGGAGGGATGAGAGCGGGGGAGAGAGACGGTGGGAGGGATGGATGGAGCGACGGGCGCGGACGTAACACATCGTTATGTATGTAAAATGCGTTTAGTCTCCTTCCCTATCGCTTCCTTCCTCATCCATCCCTCCCTCCGTCTCTCTCCCCTGCTCTCATTCCTCCCCCTATCTATCCCCTCCCTTATCTCTCTCCCCCATTCTCTCCCCCCCCCTTATCTCTCCCCCTGTCTCTCCCACCACCCCTATCTCTCTCCCGCCATCCCTATCTCTCCCTCCTCATATTTTTCACCCCTTTATCCCTCGTCACTGCATTTCCCTCACCCCACATCCCCATCATCGCACTCGAGGGTGCTCTAAGGACTCGCACACCGACCCAACCCGTGACGCACCCAGCTTTTCAACCGGCGCGACCCAGTGGTGGTCGTCGCGCGGAACCCTCACCCCCCTATAGTCCCCCCTCTCCCTTTTTCGAGGGCGGGACCACAGGGTCGCGGGTTCGCGAACCTCACACCCCCCTATAGTCCCCCCTCTCCCCTTTTCGGGGATGCTGCGGGGTTTATTAGGGGATGTTGCGGGATTCTCGCGCGTATCTCTCCTCTCAATCGAGATCGAGGGGAGCATGCCTGGGGTCTCAAATTCGAACGGATGTGATTCCGTGCATACCTCGTTCCACAGCGTCAACAGCCACGCTATTTTGCGTTTTGTGTCCGGAGGTATGAATCGAACTCGGTACCCTGTTGACATGAAGCTAGCACGCTAGCAATACGCCAACGCAGGTCACATCGATTCTGCTTTTTTTCGGCCTCATAACATCTTAGTTTATTAAATCTAAATTTTATCTTTGTGCTATGTTACAATAAATAAATCCCACGCTTTCCATTTTTTGTCCCGAGGTATGATTCGAACTCAGCACTCTTTCGGTACGAAGCCATCACTCTACCAATTACGCCAGCACAGACCGTGTCGATACCGCTTTTTTTCGGCCTCATGACTTGTTAGTTTGTTATATCTAAATATTAACTTTGTGTTATACAACAATAAATAAATACCACGACGTGAACAACAGTCTTTTTTTTGTCCTAAAGTATGATTCGAACTCGGTACCTTTTTGGTACAAAGCCATCACTCTACCAATTACGCCAACACAGGTCATACCAACCCAACTTTTTCTGGACATATAACCTGTTAGTTTTTTTTTGTTTAAAATATAAAATATCACCTAATTTGTAACGGTTTAATAATGTGATCGTCGTGGCATCGCGCTTTAGGAGGTGAGAGTCACTGGAAAGGTCGGGGTAGCAGGTTCGAGACATGGTAAGGTAAGCAAAGTAAAAGTATCAGTTCTCAACGTAGATAAGCATTAGGTAAGGTAGTATAAAGTAAGGAAAGAGATAATAGCTATAGTAGTGAAGATGGTGGGAATATTAATGTAATTGATGTAAAAATTACGTTAATTAAACGTAAAAATATATTCAATAGTAATGAGGATGTCATTGTGCAAAAGGAACATAGTTGAAAACTTCTATTTTCATTGTACAAGTCCAAAGTTAAGAAAAAGAACATAGTTGAAAACTTAATTTTTATTGTACAAGTCCAAAGTTAAGTAAAACTGACCAATATTTGAAGTATATTAATTAAAATGAACTAGTTAACACTTTGAATAATAGTATAGATTATAGTAGTATATTATGAATAACAGTAGGCCAAAGTTATAACTACATTAACTTTATTGATCATCCTCGTCGAAGAATGAATTAATGAGTATATTAAAGTTTATATAAACATAAGCAAATATGCTTATGTTTATAATACCTGTACCCGTACGGTGTGTTTCTAATATATATACATATCACTGAAAATGGTGTGAAATGAAACACTCCAAGTAAAGTTTAGTTAGTTTTATTCAAAACTTCCAATCAATATATCACAGTATTTAATAATACAATTATATTTATTTATTATTACAATTACAATAATGAAAAAGATATAATAGTATTAACACAGTATGATATGAAATTAAGTTATATTTACAGCTCAGAAAAGTACATCGTTTGAAGGAGAAATAGAAAACAATATTTAATTCTGAGAAGTCATCGGTCTGACACATTAAATGTTTAAGGCACTCGAACACAAGAGATTGCAAAAATGCTAAGTGTATAGTTTACGCTTTACAGTCAATTTAAATATGTCAAAAAAAAAACTACATTTTTCAGTCAATTCAATGTTGTCAAGAGAGCCAAGTGTATAGTTCAAGTCAAAGCAATAACGCAGACTTCGACCGATACAAAGCAAAGGTATATGAAAATTGCCTAAGATTTCAAGACACCCAAGCAGTAAACAAACTGTTTTACACAATTGTCTACATTAAAAAGTACACCCAATAAGTATCATTAATAACACAAGATTTTTTTAAAATTCAGATATGTTTAAATATCTTTGTAATTTACGTTACAGCATAAAATTAAAACAATACATTGAATTAAATATAATATATTTATTCATTATTTAATTAACATCTAAGCACTTACTATTCAATAGATCACGGTAGGCATATTCTCTCAATATTATCAAGAGAGCCAAGTGTATAATAGTACTACAAATCAAAGCAATGATGCAGACTTTGGCCGAGACAAAGCAAAGGTATAAGGAAGTTGACCAAGATTTCAACACACCCAAGCAGTAAACAAACTGTTTTACACAATTTTCTTCACGTACAAGTACACTCAATAAGTATAATTAATAACACAAATTTTTAAAATTCGGATATGTTTAAATATCTGTGAAATTTACGTTACAGCATAATGTAATTTGGCCATAAAATGGCTCATAATTAAATTAAAACAACAAATTAAATTAAATACAATAAATTTATTCATTATTTCATTAACATTTATGCACTTAACTACTCAATATATCACAGTAGGCATCTTCTTTGGTGCAAAGACGGACGGACGGACGGACGGACAGCATAATTAGTAGATCAAATGATTGTTCTCACTAATGAGAAATTTGAGAGTTGAAGACCACTTGGCTTCAAGTTGTCGTTTGCCCTATAAACAAAAACAATGAATTAGTAACAAGCCTAATAAAATATACTATAATAATAAATTACATGATTAATCGTTCAGCCCGTCTTCCAAGCAAACTCAGTAAAACCTTCATAGTAAAACTCAACAAGTGGTATTTATAATAACTGATTAAGTTAGTGAGGTTAGTCATGTTATTGAGTTAATAAGAGTTAAGTTAATCATGCATAATTATAGGAAGTTATTAAAAAAAACCACTTGCGAGTCATTCATTTGAATGAGTATTTTAAACTCGATGTTAGAGCTTCAGGGCAGTAATAGTTGGATTGAGAAGATCTGCAAAAAAAAAAAGAAACATTTCTAAAATGTTTGCATTTATACTGGTATGGATAAACACATACCTGGTAAAATATTTCTGGAAAAATTCCTGGTGAAGGAGTCAGTGTGCAGAACAGTGGTAGTTGAAAGGACCTGGAAAAAAAATAAACATGATATTAATGTTCACATTTATACTGATTATGGATAAAAACATACTTCATAAAATATTTTCAGAGCGATCCCTGGTGAAGGAGTCAGTGTGCAGAGCAGCAGTAGTTGAAACGACCTGAAAAAAAAATCATTTAGGAATGTTTGCATTCAGACTGGTATGGATAACACATACCTGGTGAAAGTTTCTGGAAAGATTCCTGTTGAAGGAGTCAGTGTGCAGAGCAGCAGTAGTTGAATGAACCTGAAAAAAAAAAAGAATCATTTTAGGAATGTTTGCATTTATGCTGGTATGGATAAACACATACCTGGTAAAAATGTTTCTGGAAAGATTCCTGGTGAAGTAGTGTGATTGCAGAGCAGCAGTAGTTGTAAGGACCTGAAAAATGTTAACATATTATTTATTGTTTACATTTATACTGATTATGGATGAAACGTACTTCATAAAATATTTCCAGAGCGATTCCTGGTGAAGTGAGTCAGTGTGCAGAGCAGTGGTAGTTAAAAGGACCTG